ACGCGATTCCCCAAGACAGCGAGAATATTTTACACCGCTCTAATATAAACAGGCGGCCGGCCGGGTCCTTTTTATGGAGTTCCTGTAATTACCCCGGCCCTGACAGGTCCTTGATTTACTGCCCTATTTAGATAAGGGGTCCGGTGCGGGGATTGCCCGTGGCGTCAAGGTCACTGGACCCGGCGGAGAGAAGGTTTTGCGGTAGGCGCCGTGGCGCGGACTCTCCGAGGCCTCCCTGGCCTGGAGCGGGGGTGAGGTGAGGGGAGGGACCCTGTGGGCGCTTTCGAACACCCAAGGCACTGAGCCACCGCGCTGATGGAGGAACTGAGTCCTGGAGGTGGCCCCCAAAGTCATTTCGCAAGGGAAATGGGGACGAAGTGGGATCTGGAACTGGAATTCAGATCTCTAGCAGTATAATCCTCCTACGTGGCGGATGCTCCCTCTCTTCCACCTCCAGCCTTATTAGAGACCTGGGTTCCGCAGGGCAGTGGGAAAGGGAAGGAACCGAACTCGGTCAGAAGCAGGGCAGACTGTCGGAAGTAAACAATGCAAGTGGAACCCAGTGGTCTAGCCTCTTTTCTCTAGTTAGGGCTTTGTAGTCGCCCTGCGGCTGCAACTCCAGTTTTTCCTCTGTGAAATTATAATCCTTAAAACAGATCCGCCATTTATCCAGAGTTACTGGTGGGTTTGGGATTTGTTCGTTTGTCTGAAGTGCTGGAGGCCTCTACCTCTGAGCTGTTCTCCACCCCAGCCCAACCAAGAGTAACTGTTTACGGTAGTAAGAGTCTCACTTATACCATTTCACTTAATCTTATACTGCAGTCTGTGCTGGGAATTACAGATTACAGAGGAGGAAACCGAGGTTCAGAAACTTCACACAGAGGAATAACAGTGCCCAGTTTAAAACCCAGGTGGGCTCCCTTCCACCTCTAGGCTCTCTTAAGCACTTCTTTAGTGCAATTTCAAACCTCTGTGTGCTTACACTCTCTTCTGTGAAATGGGATGACACTTTCTGCTCAGCCTCCTAGTATAGTCACAGAACTGACAAGTCTACATTTGAAAATTCTTAAGAATGGCAAACCAGCAGAAAGTGCTCTGGTGAGCAAGGCAGGTGAAGGGGGTGCCACACAAGAGTGTGGAACTGGCTAGGAGGACCCCCTGAGTCCCTGGTTCCTAGGGCTTTGTCTGGAGGACAGCAGAGTCCTCCTTTTGGGACTCAGGAGTCAGCATGCCCAAGAGGGACTAGAATGGGGCTCTGGGAATGACAGAATTCCAACTGTCAATTCTATCCCCCTTTTTTCCCCTGCAAATGGAGAAACTGAGGCTTGGGATTGGGAAAAACAGAGTAAGGTGCTAAACAGACCTCAACTGGAAGCCACATCTCTGCCTTTCAGCCTAAAGCAATTTTGGTCAAACCTCTTGGTTGCAGACCTCCCTTTATCATTACAGACTGGGGCAAGGGAGAGAACATTCTCACCAGGTCCTCCTCACTGTCCCAGGGTTCTGCCGGCACTCACTCCTCACACATCAAAGCCCACTGGCTGGCATTAAAGCACTTTGGACAGCTGGGTCTGGATCCAGGAACCTTGCTGTTTCTCTGGCCATGATGCTGGGACCTGCCCAGCTCGCAGCCCTAATAGATCCCTTAAGGCTAAGTTCCCGGTGTGAGTTCGGGGAGGGAGTATTGAGGGCAGAATGTTAGTTCTGAGACATTGATGGCTGGTGGCACCCTGCTCTTTAATACTCACAGGGCAGTCTTGGGACTTTCAAGGGGCCTCTGGTGCCGGAGCTCCTCACCAAGTACTGACAATTCATTCCCTACTGGACTAAGCAGGCAGATATTTGGAAGGCGCATGCTGACTGAGTGGTCTGAGTAATGTAAATGAGACTTGTGGGTGGGAGAGTTGTGTATTATGTGGATCATAGCATATTCCCGAGCAAGTACAAGTCATCGTCGTGAAAGCCTTGCTCATGTGAATACAGTTACATAACTTCCTTTGGAGGGCTTGTGAAAGTGACTACACAGGTGAGGCTAATAATATATGCCAAATTGAATGTGTGGAGTTTGTGTACCTATTTGTAAACGTGTGAGGATGTCCATCTGAGAGCACTTGTGCATGAGTAATGTTGGATGGTAGGGTTTTTGTTTTTGTTTTTGAGACTGGGTCTCACGTTGTTGCCCAGGCTGGCATCTAATCCAGTTTCTTAGCTGAAGTGACCCTCCTTGTTGAAGCCTCCTTGAGCTGTTGGGACAGGCACAGAGGTAATATGTAGTGCTGGCTAATCTGGTGGGTTCTTATAGGTTTGGGCTACGAACACAATTGTGAGAAAGTGTAAGAAAATACAAAGTACTTGTGTAAACCCCTGCGTCTTATGTGTTGTACTATATGACTGTGGTCTTTCTACATGTCTGAGTGTAGGACAGGTAGTGGCTCCTAGCTGTAACCCATCTGAAGCCCAATGAGAACCCGGTGGGTGACAGAGTTAAAGTGTAAAATCTCAGGAATGATGAGTATTGAAATACTGTGTGTATGGCAGGTGACAGTGTGTATTGTCGCGAGAATGCACATATTTTGGGGCATCTTGTCACGGCGAGGTTGCGAACCTATGTACATGTACAGGTGTACGTGTAGTCGTAGGGCCTCATGTTGCAGTACGAGCAGCTGCTGGTGAAAATCGTGCTTGGATTAGTTGAGAACTGAGGTCCTTCTCCACAGAGTACTTCTTCCCTCTACCTGCACACCCTCACTCAGGAGAGCCTCCGGGTTGGCGAGGCACCGGACTCCGCGGAGCCGGAGCCGCGGCTGAAATGTGTGCCTGCTTTCCCTCCCCGCGAGCCTCGGGCACCGCGCTCAGCCCAGCCCCTGAGCTGCTGGCGCCAGGCGCCGGGGAGAGCGGCGGGTTTCCAGCCCGCCTCAGGCAGGAAACCAGGACCTCCCTCTGCCGCTTCCCCACCTTCCGCACCTCTAGGGCCCACAGCCCCACCGGCTCTCACAGGTGGAACCGGTCAACTCTGACCTAAGCGACTGTCCCCGTCTTTCCTGAATGTCGCCTCCATTCACCCCCAAAGTATGGGTATTCTCACAGAAATATACATCTACAACCACAGTACACACAGTATCTCAATATTATGCCTTCCTAGGATTTTACGTTTTACACTTTACCTCTGTCACCCACAGGGTACACATTCTGTTTCAGATAACTTTCCATTTAACCACTCCCTACTGGACCTCAAGGGGGAATACTTCATCCTGTCTAGACCCCGCTTTCTCTGTCTGCACAAGGAGAGCGCCCCTCCCAAACCCCGCTGGATTTGGACTACTAATTGTGCCCGGCACATCGCATGCGTAATAAATAATTTTTGAGTGAATGAATACATAATAATTTTGCTTTCTTAAAAAGAGCACTTCACAGAATCTCCTTTCATCCTTACCTGACATTGGGTTTGAGAGAAAAGCACACTTCCTGTACTCCACCTAGGAAAGGGGCACAGATGGGAAAGTTGGTGAGTCCCACGTACGTGGACATCAGCTAGGAAACCACCTTAAAACGAGGACCTAGAGTCCCCAGGCTGAAGCGCCACCACCCTGGGATTCCCAGGTTCCCGCGAACCTGGGAAAGCCCAGGGCGGAGAGAATCAGACCGGCGGGAAAGTGCCCTACACGGTGTGTGGGAGGGGAGCAGGAGAGAGCTGTGTAGCGGGACCATGCCTCTCTGAACGGGTGAATGTGAGATGCTCCCTCTGCGCGAATCTCGGGGATGCTGTGCAGGACTGGATCTCCTGCATGGGTTTTCCGCCTAACGCTGGTTTCTCGCACTGTGAGCTTTAGAGAACCAAATATTCTCAAGGGATGACGATCTGGGTGAAGTGGCTCAGCATAGCTTTGCTTCTACTCCTATGGGGCTAGTACGGCGGAGAGACTGGAGTTCTGCAGGACGGATGCCCTAAGGCCAAGGCGGACTCTAGGCTGCCTCGGCATCCGTCTGGCCGGTTGGCCTTTACACTGAATCAGGCGCCTTCGAGGCGAGAAGAGCAGAACTCAGCCCCTTGAGCTCAAACAAACCGGTAAATGCCCATGGGCTTGGAGTCCGTTGCCTCTCTCTCCCTCAACTCCCACCCCGCTCTCTGCAAGGCTTCTCTGCTGCTCAGTAGCAGTCTGCCAGTCTGGCAGCGAAGTGGGAGAACTGGCTGGCTGGTAACGATCCAGTGCGTGAGAGGCTCCCAGTCCGGCCAGTGAGGTCGATGACTATAGGGCGGGGCGGGAAGGCATTAGGGATGAACCTTTAGGCCTATCCAGCTTCCCGCAGCGCCCCTTAATCTTCTGGCTCCGACGCCCAGCAGAGCAGTTGCAACTCGGGAATGGGGACGCTGGAACTCCTGTTTTGAACTCGGAACAGTCTAGGAACAAGAACCATTTTCTCTCTGGGCCTCAGTCACCCTATCTAGGTGAAGACTTTCTTTTCGCTGATGATTCTAGGTTCCTTTTCTTTGATCTACATGGAGGGGGTGGCAGCAACAGTCCAGGGCGTTGGCAGGCCAGTGCCTCAAGTACATAGCCCCCGCCCTTCCAGGCCGGAACGCCGGGAGAGGGGAGGAATGGAGGCGGGGCCGGTTCCCAGTCCCCGCTGGCGGCCTGGAGTGGCGCTAGCTGAGCGTAAAACCTGGGATGGCCACCGCCCCCACCCAGTTTCACCTCCCCGCCCCCCTGCCATTGGCTCCAGGGCGAGGTTGACATCAAAGCCGCGGCCTTATATAAGCTAGATCCTGAAGGGGAGTCGTAGAAGGGTTAAACAGGTCTTTGAGCATCGGCATCCTTGCCCGCGACAGAATCCCACAAGAAGACGGCAGACCTCGCGAGTCATCTTCAACCTTGCCCAGGACTCCCTTAAAGCCCGCGCCCTGCGGTGCGCGGCCCGGGAGCCTGCGGGTGGCCCCGGTAGTCTGTGGGGCGCATGGGGCGGCGCTAATCGGACTGGTGGTGCAGGCCAGGAGCCTCTCCAACATGAACCTCGTGGGCAGCTACGCACACCATCACCACGCACACCCCGCGCACCCAATGCTCCACGAGCCCTTTCTCTTTGGTCCGGCCTCTCGCTGTCACCAGGAGCGGCCCTACTTCCAAAGCTGGCTGTTGAGCCCGGCTGACGCTGCCCCGGATTTCCCTGCTGGCGGACCACCACCCACAGCCGCGTTGGCTGCGGCTGCCTACGGTCCGGACGCCAGGCCAGGTCAGAGCCCCGGGCGGCTGGAGGCGCTCGGCGGCCGACTGGGCCGGCGGAAAGGCTCAGGACCCAAGAAAGAGCGGAGACGCACGGAGAGTATTAATAGCGCGTTCGCGGAGCTGCGCGAGTGCATCCCCAACGTGCCAGCTGACACCAAGCTCTCAAAGATCAAGACTCTGCGTCTAGCCACCAGCTACATCGCCTACTTGATGGACGTGCTGGCCAAGGATGCACAGGCTGGAGACCCTGAAGCCTTTAAGGCTGAACTTAAAAAGGCGGATGGCAGCCGCGAGAGCAAACGGAAAAGGGAGCTGGTGAGTCCTGGGGCCTGTAAGTTCCAGACCAGGGTGCCGAGCGGGTTAGGGCCCTTGCAGGCAGTGGAAGAAGACTGTTGTGTGTGCGATTTTGAAAGGCTAGGGGGAGTTCTGAGATTATGGTAATGTGCCTTTTTGTGCATGGAGGGAGGCAGATTCGTAATGAAAGTCAGTTATAATGTGGGATAATGCTGGTAAAATTGAATGAACACAGGTTCTTCAAATTTTTGGAAGAGGTCTTAGAACCGGCTTTAAGAGTTGGTTGAGCTGGCTGCTGGTGTCTCACGCCTGTAATTCCAGCTGCTCAGGAGGCAGAGATCAAGAGGATCGCGATTCAAAGTCAGCCCGGGCACATAGTTCGCGAGACCCTATCTCGAAAATAGCCATCACAAAAAAAGGTCCGGCGAAGTGGCCCACAGTGTAGGTCCTGAGTTCAAACCCCAGTACCAAAAAAAAAAAAAAAAAAAAAAGAGTCGGTTGAAAGCCTTGGTTGTTGGACCACTAAAAAGAACGCAGTACATTTTACTTTCCTGGTTCATCTTTGTACTGTCCTGGGAGCCAAAATGAGAATGAATGTAAGAGTTCCTTACTTTACTGTGAGTATGAGTATGTACTCAGTAACTGCTTTCAAACGGCCTTTGCTGGAGAGGCTGATCTACTTCCATCATTGTATATACGCAGATAGGGCAACTGAGGCACAGAGTGGGACAAAACATGAAAGATCAGAGGTAGAGGTAGGATAAAATGGGTCGGGTTCTCAACTTTTAGTCCAGAGCGCTACATTGGCAGCACTCCCAGTGGGCTGATTTGGAGGGCAACCTCAATACTTTGTTTGTAAACAAGCAAGAGCAGCTTTGGACTTTGGAGATAGCAATCCCTACTCGGCTTTTCTGGGTCATCGCCAGTTAGGGTGATATTTTGTGGAGCTGGGTTTCCCTAAACAGGGATGCGGGACCTCTGAACAGGCTAGCGAATGAGTTTCTCCAGGTTGGTGCGCGTAGGCCCGCCGCGGTGGAGCGGACTGGAGAGCTTCGCTGCGTTCTGACCCTCGGGGCCTGTGGCAAACTAGGGAAAGTTCACTTGGGGGCAGATTGGCATCTAGTTTCTAAGCAACGGACGTGGACTGGAGGAGACGCAGGCTCCAGGGCCACCACGGTGGAGGTAGTTATTGGGCAGATCCCTATTCCCCACACAGGATTGCCTCCTTCAAGTAGCACAACTAGGTTCCTGGTAAGGGAGCCCGGAAGGACACTAGGCAGACCGACTCCTTCCTTCCTTTTTCCTTCGCGGAACAATCTGAGGCTTCCAGCTCTAGCCGATCCAACTTGGTATCCACGCCAGATGCTAAGCCAGATTAGAAAGCCCGCAGGACGTGCAGGTCGGGGGAGCAGATTCTTGAGCGGGAAAAGGCTAATTGCTATTCCAACCCCCTGCAGTGGTTTGGCTACAAAGCCAAACCATCGCGCATCAGTTTGACCAGACGCGCCGAGAAATCTCGTTTCCAAACCTCTCAAGCTGCCCAGACCATCCAGGATCCCAGGAACTTGGCGCATAAAGGCAAATTTATGAGCCTGTTTGCCTATTTCGCAAACAGAAATCCGTCACTTATTTAAAGGCTCCCGTTACTGCTCCCAACACCTTACTCCCCACCCCCACCTCCAAACGGGTGATTGGAGCAGAACAATCTAAACCTATCTTTCTCGCCTCTTTTCTTCTGTGTGTCCTTTGGCAGCCGCAGCACGAAGGTTTTCCTCCTGCCCTGGGCCCAGGGGAGAAGAGGATTAAAGGCCGCACCGGCTGGCCGCAGCAAGTCTGGGCGCTGGAGTTAAACCAGTGAGCCGAGACCCTCGTCACCGAGGACCTGGCCACGGCTGGCCGACCCGGAACTCTGGGAGGAAAGGAAAGCAGCAGCGAAGGCCATGCTCTGGTTCCGCAGGCTTGTGGAAGCGCATCGCGGAGTCTCTGCTGAGTGCTGGCAGGTCGCCGGCTGCAACCACACACTTGGATCGCACGTGCAATGTCATTAGAAATTATCTTTAATACAGTAAGAGAAAAAGAAATATATATATATAAATATATATCCACTTCTAACCAAGGGCGGCTCTTGGAGGCACGTTGCAGGAAGGAGAGACTGCAGAATTCAAGAGCCCAAAGACACACCCCCAAGGCCATCCTCTCTCTCTGGCTCTTTCTGTCTTGTCCCTGTCTCGCTTTTCGTCAGAATCCCCCGACGCCTCCTTCTCGAATTAAAATGCAATAAAAGGAATTAACAGTTTTCTGCCAGGGAAAGAGAATCACAACCAGGAAGATGGAGGGGTGCCTTTTGCCGTTCTCTTTGAAACAACAGTGTTTTATTTTTCTTTTTGTCGTTCCACTTCCTACCTAGAGGGAAGTAGTTACTGGTCGGATCCCAACCGCCCACGCCAAGCTGCCTCCTTCAAGTAGCACGCTGGTTTCCAAGGGAAACCTATTTTTTTCCTGTTCTTTTCTTCCTTTCTTTCTCCTTCACGTCTTTTCTTTTCCTTCTCTTTATTTCTAAAAAAAATTTCCCCTATGTTGTAAAGTTTTTATGTATTTAAACTACCTACCATGCCTGATGCTCAGGTGTTTATCTCCCCATCCCCGCCCCTTTTCTACCTCAGATCCGATGACCACTCACCGCCCTCCCCCCTTTTGCCAAAGCAGTATCTATGCTCTTGACTAATAAAAAGTTTTCTGAAATCCTCTGAGGCCCGTGTGATATCTCAGTCAGGATCCAGCTCCAGGGTTTCTGCTGGATTGGAAGTCGGCGTTCTTTTCCTCCTTTGATAAATACCAAACCAGACTGCAAATCAGGCCGAGGGAAGAGGGCAGATAAAGAATTTATTCCTGGAACAGAGAGTAAAATTTCTAGGCTGTAGCAGTAGGACAGGGTAACTTATACGAATGGGGAGAAATGAAAACTGGAAATAAATTTAACTCCTAGAGACTTACTCCAGTGGGCATTGGCAGATTAGTACACACTGGTGTTTGCAGACTGTGGTTTGGTGGGGGTTTTGGGAAGGGAAGGGGTCTGTCACACAAATGAGCAGTGTCCCTGTGCAGGGTAGCTTGGAGGAAGGGATGTAGCTGGGAATGCTTTCCCTTTCTCAATCCCGTGTGTGAAATTCTGAACATATTAGGTAGGGGATGTACATGCCTTGGTGCAGCAACTTAAACGGAGCCCCGTGACTGTGCAGGTCCTATGAGAGTCTGCTCTAGTACAGCTACAAGCACAAAGGCGGTAAAGGACTAGAGAGTCCTAGTAGCTAATATTATTTTATACATGAGTAAAATAAGCTTGCGAGTGTTTATGGTTAAACTGAGATTTCGCTCCAGCAGCAGAGCACTCAAAAATATTTGTGAGCACATGGATTTGTGCAAAGAGATTTTATGTATGTATGTGTGTGTGTGTGTTGCCCGCACTTGTGGAGTGAGAGTGGGTCTCGGTGTCCCCATCTATGCATATCCATGGCTGACTGTAGACTTAATAAATGCGGGTGCATTTGCCCAGAGGCACAGAAGCGAGTTGGGCTATACAAGGGCGGACAAATGCTGGCGTTTACGCGTCCATGAATGACAAGAATGTACCAACAATTAGTTTTATTTGCGCGCAGCCGTATGCACTGTTGAGCGCTTTGTTTCCTAACAGCTGTCAGGCTGGTCCGAGGGGTCGCGGCTCTGCAGGCTTGCACCCCGGAGGAGGCGGCAAAACTCGCTTTCGTGCTCCACACCCGAGCTTGAGCTCTTGGGTTGGGGACAAGAAAGGAGACCCTGGGCAGTTCTGGGCAGGGCTTCTCCGGGCACCAGGCGTGCCCCAGTCGCCTCAGCCCGGCACCGGGGTGAATATGGGGCTCCATTACTCTTGGCTGTTAACACCGTGGTAGGGGCAGAGCGGCCACGCGGGCCTCTCCGGACACGAAGGAGTTAATATAAGGTGTTTTATGGGCGCGAAGAAACGGTGGGGGAGGTGTGAGCTTCTCACTACTCTTGCTCCCCTACTTCTTTCTTTTTTTCTTCTCGCCACCAACCACCAGATCAAACAGGCCAGCGATTTAACTAGGGCAACACCTCGCCATAATGAGCCGGCCCCACCCGCCCCTCCCCCGCCTCTGTTCAGGCCTGAGGCTCCAAGGCCTCTTCGGGAGGATTAGAAAGAAAAACCCAGGTTTCTTTATATTTTTCTTTACACGAACTGGGAATCCTCTTGGAAATTCTGGAATGCGCGAGGATAACGGAGATCCTGGGAGCAAGCCACCCAGCACCGAGGGGACCTTATCTAGATTCGAACCCGGGACTCCAGTTTAGCTTATAGACAAACCTGTGGCTCTACACAGGGCCCAGCTCTCGGGACTATTTTTAGCAAAGCGAAGTATCCGAGGCACGGGAAGAATGCGCGCCCGCGTCCTGCTTCCCTACTGCCAGAGAAAGGAGAGGAGTACCTATCCTGGGTACCTCTGTGGCAGCCAGAGCCAAGTCTGGGGTAATCAGCCCTCTCCCCAAAACCCCATGCAGCTGGCTCCAAAAACCACTTTGGGAAGTGAGGGCTTGGTCTTTAAATGCGGTCTTGGTTGTCTGGGCAGGACCTCAGAAGCCAATCTGGGAGCCGCCACCCACTGAGCAGGTCGCCAGATTTCTCCCATGCCCCCCAACCTTTTCTTCACCGGCCCGAAACAAACAGCCTCAGCCCAGTCCGCGAGAGAAGAACCGAGTCGCTCCACACTGCCCAACCCAGTCTGCGCCCAGATCCAGCTCTTCACTGCCACGACAACCACGACCACCGTCACCACCGGCTGTTAAGGCTCTCTCATCCTTTAGCCCCCACTTCTTCCCCAAATATCTTCCCCGCTCTTTTTATTAGCAAGTATTAATTGTAAAAAGGGGGTTTTCACTGTGATATTTCCATGCATGCATACTTTGATCAAAATCACCCCCTTTATTACTCTTTCTTATCACTCCCTCTCCTTTTTGAACAATTTTTAACGGTTTCATTATTCTGTTTTCATGCATGCATATGAAGTACTCCAAACATATTCACACACACACCCTTTCACCCTTTCCTTTCACTCTCCTCCTCCCGGTGGCTCCCTTCCCAAACTGAACCTTCCTCCCACTCCCAATTTTTACACTTCTGTCATTCACTTTTTGAAATATCTTTAGAGTCTGATGTTTACTTCCTTATGTTCTACTCAGGGATCAATACTTTGTCAGACACCTCCAACAGGCTTGGCAGAAGCAGTGCCATCATTATTATTTTTAATTATCTTTTTATATAGAATGGTCATGAACTTAAAAATAAACTCCAGGAATTTATCATAAGAAAATACTCATTGATGTTATAAAAGCTTTAACTAGAGGACAATTGGACTAAGGAGCTAAATCTTGGAAAAGCCCCCATGTGGTCTAATTAGAGACCTAGTTAAATAAATCCATCAGTACAGCGAGTTATACCTGGCCTTTAGAAAAAAAAATGTGGGAATTGACATGGAAATTGTTCATGGTTTAAGTGGGAAAACCCTTTCCATGTTACTAAACATTGTTGTGACTGCTTTGTGTGAAAAAGTAAGTAAATAGATAAATAAATATCATTTGTAGAGAAAAAGGGGGAGAATATGCATCTAATACCCTTACTTCTGATTTGTGGAATAAAGGCAATTTTTACTTTTCCTCTGGCTTAGCTATATTTTTCTAAAATTTTTAATAATGAATAAATACTATTATTGAGATAAAAATTAAAGTGCAATTCCCTTCTGTTTTTTCCTGTTGCCATTTTTTTGAGTGCCTACCATAGGTACTGCAATATAAATATAATGAATAGAGAAGATCCTAATAATGATCACAAATTAACATACAAAGGTAAATATCCATCTTGAAGAGTTATTATTCCTTCCACACAACACATATGTCCTTTCCTTACATCAAAACCTATTGGTGACTGAAATAATAACAACAGCTAAAATATACGAAACAAATCATTTAAACCCTTAGCAGGCATTATTTCATATAAGCCTCACAGGGTTTTGTGAAGTCCTTATTAAGGCAGCTGAGGCTCAGAGAGGTGAAGGATTTCATTCAAGGTCATATAGATGGTAAAAGGCAAATTGGGCTTGGATCAAAGTGCAAATCCGGCTGCCTTCAGAGACCTGGCTTTTCCCTGTATCTTGAAGCATGTCCAGGTTGTGTGTCTGTACATAAGCAACCAAATACAGCTTCTTTCCATCTGATTTTCCCTGGTCCTTAAAGTAAGGCAGAGAGAGAGAAGTCAGTCAGTCTAGCCCCTGCTGGGCCTGTGAGTGGATCCCTGTGTAAAATCTCTAGGTCCTTTCCTGATGGCAAGGGCAGCCTTGGGATTACAGGAGCCCACTTTCTGCTGGTGAGAAGCTCAGCATGATTTCCTTTGCAGCAGCTGCTGGTGTTGGTTTGCAGTAGTGCACTCACCTTTCCTCCATACCTCTGCTCCTGTAAGTAGATTTTTCTCCCTTAGTCTAGAAGGGAGTCAGGCAGGAATGATACTCTCAATGTACAGACAGGGAAAGGAAGAGCCAGAGGGTGAAGAAGAGCTCAGGGCCAGGGGACAGTCAAAAGTGGAGTTAGAAGGCAGGTCTGCAGGCTTCAGGCCTGAAAAGGAAAAGGCAGGGGGCACTTTCTCTCTATGCAACTGGCAGTTAAGCTTAGAGTCTTATTAAATACCCATGAAAGAAACGAAACCAAAAAATCAGCCACTCTCATTTTTAAATGAAAAGTGACTGGGAAGAAAAAATATGCACTCTCTGACATGTCTGACACTAGCCTCCTGATTTAAACCCAATTTGTTTGAAA